GGTCCTGCTACTAATGGAGCTCTCTTTCCTTTCTTCTTCACTGGTGTATTGGTTGGTGTCATCTTGGTACTAGTAACTGGATTAGAGTATTTTTAAATAATCGTCTTTTTAAAGAAGGAGTGAAAGGATTTCTCCTCCTCCTAATGTTTCGTGGTATTGAAATCTGTAATGGCGATGATGATGATGATGATACTGTATAGTTACTGTCTCTCATTATTTTGAAATGGCTCGATCTGTCGGCGCTCGTTAAAGCCTCCGCTCTAATGCAGTCCTCGTTGACACATAAATCAGCATCAATATCAAAATCAGTGATATTAGCATCATCGTCTGATATCGGATCAACGTAAATTGACGATGAGGTCTCTCTTGATTTGCTCTTCAAAGGTTTCAAACTCGTTAATTTCCAATAACGTGTGGGCAGTAATATATAAAACAATCCTTTCGAGACTTTGACACCTTCCGTCACTTCCAGTACCAGTTCCTGTAGGGCGTGGTCGGTAGGTGTGGCCAGTCCCAATAAATGAATGAGTTCCCTGTATAAACTAGTGACTAGTCTTAGCTGATTATTAATGACTAGGCCCTCCCTCCCTCTACATTGTCGACAGTGTATTTTCAATAATGGCTCCACAAACTGACACTCGTAGCAGTAGCATTTTCTTCTGTCGGTCGATTGGGTTTCGGGGTTTGGTGAGGGGCATGGTTAATGTAGGCGTGGTTGCAGTTTAATTTAAAAACTCCCGAGGCCATCCATTGCAGTATTTCTTGTTTAAATCTGCAAATGCAATTAGAATCAGTTCAAACTTTCTGCACAAGATAAGGATGAGTATAATACATCCTTATAAAAGTGACAGATTCTTTACATTTCATTTTTGACAAAATTTGGCCAAGATCCTGTTCAGGGGAGGACTTTTCTGAGTAGCTTTAAAAATTCAATTGTGATTGAAATTGGCTCAAACTTTCTATGGTTATGAACTGGAGAATTTTCTTTTTCAATTTTGACAAAATTTGACCAAGACCCTGTACCTGTATTGTGCTAATTAATTTAATTAAGGAATTAAATATGGACACGCAAAATATATTTAGAAACATCTCAAGCTGCATGATCAAGACACACATCAACTACTGACATTATACAGTTAATAAAAGTATCAGCTCTTTCTGCTAATGACTGGCCTGTCTTGACATCAAATATTTATCATAATTTGCTTTTGTCATAGAATTTTGGAGCAACTTTTAAAATTTTTGTAAAAAATCTCAAAATCAATAATTAAAAAAAGAATAAAATGCCTTTTTATTTGATTTTATTCCTTATACTTGTCCATTAGTGTATCAGCTAGTGCAATAGTTCTTAAAGTGTCTTCCTCTCTCAGTATATCTATGAATATACCAAACACTTTTTCATTCATACGAATAGAACTCAAAATGATGTGAAGCAATTCATCCATTTTGTCATCGTCAGTTTCTTTAGCAGTTATTTTCCTTTTCTCTCTTGAATTTACAATTTTGTGTTCTAGCAACTTATCAACTAAAAAGTTGATATCAATTCCACAGTCCTTTATTGATGAAGTACATTCTGTCATTACTCTATGAGCAATATCACCTCTAAATGTACCTATTAATGTGTTATTAAAATCAGTTACTCTTATTAACTAACTGTTTGAAGGAGGAGGAGGAGCTGAAGGAGGTGATCTGTTGTTAGTAACAGGATCTATTTAAGAGGATATAAAAACAATGCATTATGATTACATTACCTGATGATGATTTTGTTTTTAATGATCTGTTAATAACAATTTCTTTTGATTTCTGTACACCTTTCAATGGTACAGAATAACTCAAGTTAGGTACAGTATAGGGACTATTCTCAGCATATATTGATACCAGGCAAGATGGAGGAATTGTAGTACAGATGTCACCAAAGCTTAGTATATCTTCTTCTTCAATCTATTTTACAAAAAATGATCATTTTTATTAGAAAATGAAATAAATTACTTGACAAGGCATCAAATGTGGTTTAATTTTCCATCCAGTTATTAGCTCTGTTTGATGCTTATCATTAAATATTAATTCAATACATCCTTTTGGTGAAGAAGTGAGTTTGAATTTAATGCTTTGATCAAACTCTGGATGAGAATGTTCTTTTCTAATGTACTATATAAAAATTAAAATAAATAATAGAAAAATGAAACAATATTAATAACACAAAATAATGATATTTACATTTACAATACCTGGCGTAAAGGATTCAAATCTTTTGCAGCTGTAAATATCATTAAATCTCTACTCTCATCTCGTTGATAGAACACTTGTCCAGCATACACTGTAGCTTCAGGTATACCAGTGGAATGAGTGGATACAGCTGTATAAAGTAAAATGATAGTGATTATCAATATTTGCATGGCTGTTCTTCACCTTCTTGCTTCAGTAACTTTGATTCTGATCCTAGAAGAGCATTGCCATGCTCTTCTTTCTGAAGATCAATTTGTTTTTTGTTATTTTCTTTTTGCTGCTGATGCTCAACTCCTACTCCACTTGGTTCTCCTTCTTGTCCTCCTGCTCCTTGCCCTTCTTTTTGTCCCTTACCCTCATCTCCTGAGTCTTCATCTTCCTGGTCCATTCCTCTCTTCATTCCTACCTCCTCCATTTTCCTCTTCTTCCTTCCCAACAATAGCTAATTGACAGAACTTGCTTCGTTCAATCCATCCATATCTCTGGCATGCTGGAAACTCCCCTCCTTCAATTAGTGAGAACTGGTAAGGAAGACTAGCTGTGTGAACTGGAGCAACAGCAAATTTAAGATACTTGGATAAAGAAGGATCACTGAGATCAATACAGTGTTGCATTTCTATCCTCAGTGACTTGAGGAGTGGACTGGTTGATATTGCATACACTGCACTGACTAATCTAGTATTATCAGGAAACCTATAAAGGAAATAATGATTAAAATTCATGTACATGTATATATAATGTATAGTGGGTAATTTTTATGGGATAAAGTTTTGTCATTTCATGCATCAAAAAATGAAATTTGGTATAAAAAATTATTATACTCATTATTTAACTGATCTAATTGTTAGAAAGCAAAATTTTAAAGGCAGTAATACTTTCTTCACTAGACAAATCAAGACTAAATTATCAATTGTTTTCCCTGACAATAATTACCCAACATGCACTAACTATACAGACATTACTACATGTACAGTATATGTACTTGAAGTGTCCTCCTACAAGAGCTAGTACTGATACTTCTACAGTCTCTGATGCTGATAGACTATCCTCTGGTACACTAATCCTCAGTCCATACTCCTCCCAGTTCATCAGTTGAGGTTTGTCTCCTTGAACTAAGAACAACTTCTTCCCTGCTATTTGGCACTCACTCAGACCTTCCAAATTATCTGTATGTAATTATGCAGTTACCATAATATTCAACAATATAATATTGTTTGGCTAAAATTTTTAAAATGAATGAATTGATAAATGACAGAATAGTATTTAAACTGATTGGTTTGTCCTGCTCATTCAAGAATGCAGTGAGTCCCAATTACTCAACATGGTATGTCTACATGTATTGTACTAACCTTGTGATGGTACAAGGTAGTTGAACTGAACCTCTTTGTCAAGAACTGTAGCATAAAAGTAAAAGTAATGATAATAAATAATAACTGTTTTTGTTTTTTTGTTTTTGTTTATTTTTTGTTTATTTTGCTCCTTTTCTATTTCTTTCTTTTGAGTTCTCCCTCTTATAATAATAATGATAATAATAGTAATAATATATTAATAATAATAATAATTATTATTATTATGTTATTATTTTATAATTGTTATTCTTGTTATTGTTATTATCATTATTTATTATTATTGTTATTATTAATTATTATTATTATTATTTTTATTATTATTACCACTACCATCATTACCATTATCATTACTATTAATAATAAAAATATAAGGACAGGTTAGAATAAATTAGGTTATGTTAGAGTAGGACAGATTAGGAAATAAGAAATGAGTCAAGAAGAAAAGAAGATACAGATGAAAAATTAATCTAAATAATAATAATGTAATTAATGTAGCATGTATTATTATTATTATTATTGTTATTATTATTATTAATTAGTATCGGCATCAAGAGCCTATTAGTAACATAACACTTTAAAATTTAAAATGTTATTATTATTATTATTGTTATTATTATTATTAATTAGTATCGGCATCAAGAGCCTATTAGTAACATAACACTTTAAAATTTAAAATGTTATTATTATTATTATCATTATAAAATAAATATTTGTAATAATTATAATATAATTTATTGAAGAAAGACACTTGGTACTCAGATGTGTTACAGTAATTAATTAGTTAATAGTGTGTACATGTATGTTTATGTAGACATGTGTTAATTAGTATACTTGTTAATGAAGTTGTGTTATTAATTAGATTTAGGCCGTATCTTTGTTAATTTTTGTAGCTCGCCCTTGAAGTTAGCCTCACGGTTACCGTACGGCTATGACATTAGTCTGGAGCAAGCCTTATCTTTGTTCAATGTTAGTTACAATTGAGCCTTATGCTCTTTGTGTTAATTTTATATAAATGACTGATTTTTGTAAGCTCAGTGTGCTATCATTTTTTGAGTTTAGTGATCTTTTTGAAAGCATTAAATCTAACATAATTATCTTTTTTCTTCTTGTCTTTTGTGTGTTTTTTGTTTTGTTTTTTTTTCATTTAGCATTTCATTTATCTTTTCAGCATTATGTAATATCATTTTGTGTTTATAACTACTCATGATTCATTCATAATTTCATTATTCATTTCTCCTCATTGTCATTGTTATTACTGATTGCTTTCATTGTTGTTTTGTTTTTGTGATTTGATTCTTTTCCTTTTATAATAACAATAAGTTTTGCTGATTTATAAAAAAAGAATTTTTCAAGGCATTGCAGCCTTTAAATAGTGATTAAATTAAAATACTGGTACACAATAATCTGCAAAAAAGGTGAAAGTATTGCTCCTAGTAATTAGTAAAGCCCTAATGCCGTACTCACTGTCACTTGTGCAGTAGTAAATTCATGTAAACATTAAAAAGCCTTAAAATAAAGGCTTGTCTCAATAATTATAAGCCAATACAAAGTATAAGAAAACCATCAAATAGAAGCCTATGTACAAATTAAAGATAGGAAATAGAGCATGGGCTATTAGTATAGTAGGTTAAGCATTGAAACAAGACCATAACATACCTGACTGAGTGATAGTTTTATCACACTGACCTGATACTTTCTTGTGACTTTTGAGCTGTAGTAAATCTAATTCTTGTTGAAGATCATCAATCTTTTTTTGTAGTTCTTCTTTCTCTGTTAGAGCACTTTCTTTCTGTTTCATTAAACTGGAGGATGTCTGTATCTGTTCCTGTAACTTCTTTTGAAGTTTTTGAGTAAGTTCATTGTCTTGCCACCATTTTTGATGTTTGTCCATGGTAGCTACAATGGACATTATTAGTTGAAAGTATTTATGAAAGAAAATTCATGTTTCTTTATACAATGGTATCATTAAAAGCTATGCAAAAGCTCTACACAAACATGTTCATGCATACATATTACATATTAAAGTTATTAGATTTAGCACTGAAAGGTGATTTTACAAAATTTAAATTATTATCAACCTGCAATATTGACTTCATCATGTATTTATGTACAAACAATCTCACCGGCTATAAACTATACTTTATAGCAGGAAATTTTTGCTGTGTGCTAATTTTCAGTATTTTGTTTAGCCAAATTTTGAACAAAAATTTTAGACAATGAAATTTAAACCAAGTGGGCTTGACAGCTGTGAATAATAATATAAATCAATGAAAATATTTTGTAAAATAAACAACTTTCTGGCAACAGCAATTTTCTGCTATATGACATATACCAGTACATTAATGTAGCAGATATTATCATACCTGATATTGCAGAGTGATCAGTAGGTAAAATATGAACTGTAGAGTTCTGCCATGGTTCTTTATCAAAGGGCATACCAAGACTATTGACTGTACTAGTGGTAGCTGGTTTAACTACAGCTGTATTTTAAAATATTATACAGAGTTAATTATAATGTATTAATATTTATTAATCAAAATTTAACTCACATCCAACAGTGAATGTTATAAAATCATCTTCATGATTAATGTAATGCTGAAAAACTCTTTTAAGTTTACTTATTGCCATTTCATCCCATCTGTCGCTTAGCTGAATAACGACTGGTTTTGTTTGATCGCTTAGTGGTTGGTGAGGCTGCTGCTGGTAATGATGACAATTTTTCTTTGATTGTTGATTGTATGTGCTTCAATTGTGATGATTCTGAGAATTTTTTAACACTATCAATGTATTCAGCTAGTTCAGTTTGAAGACTATCTGATGAGGGAATAAAACGATATACTAAACTTTTGAGTAGCCCAAAATTACAGAAGTCGCAATGAGGTTCAATGGCAGTAAAAATTGTGCTTATGTTGATTTCTGATAACTTTAAATCTTGCCCCAAATATTCTTCAGTATGAATTGCAACATCATCTACTTTCAGTTTGTCATTGGAAACAAGTTCATTAAAATGCATTCTTATTTTAGTGACAAGATCAGTAAACTGATCATGTAGTAATTCAATTCTGAGGGCAACCTCTTCCTTTGAGCTGAGTTGAATTACGGTGGGAATAGAGTGGGGCTCAACATGCATTAGCTGTGACTGCAGGTGTGGCTCCTTATCTTGCAGTACTGTTGCTGTTGGATCATGTGGAGCTGATGATGAATTTTGAGATCGACTTGGCTTAGGTGCTGGTGGTGGAGGTTTTTTAATTATTGATGATCTGTGTGGTTTAGGTGCAGTTGGAGGAGGTTTCTTAGTTATTGATGATCGGTGTAGGTAGTGTTTACGTGGCATTGGTGGAGTTAGTGGTGCTTGAAGTGCATTATGTGCTATTGGTGGAAGTTGTATTAGTGATCGTGGACGTGGTTTAGGTACCGCTTGTGGAATTTCAATTTTTATAGTTTGTGGTTTAAATGGTATAGATAATGATCGTGGACGTGGTATAGTTTCTGTTAGTGAAGGTTCTTGTTCTTCAATTAGTGATAGTGGTCGTGCTTTCTTTGCTGACAATGGTTGAGGTCGTCCACTCTGTGATAATGATTTTGATTCAGGCACTATTGATGGAGATTGTGTGTTTTTCAAAAGTGGTGGTGGCTCTTTTGCTGTTGACAATGGTTGAGGTCGTCCACTTTGTGATAACTGTTTAGGTGCTATTGGTACAGGCTTTAGTGGCAAACCTATTTAGAGTAATGTGTGACACCTATAATCAAGTGCTAAATTGCCAAAAATAAAGATTTCATTACAGTCTAAATGGCAGTTTTCCATTAAATTGCAAAGTATAAATACAAATATTAATTTGGCAAATTGCTATCCTGTCTTTTCCTCTCTAAGCACTCTTAGCTTTTTAAAAATTTGCTCTTAATATATGCTGGACTTTCAAAGTGCCATTTTTTAACTACCTGTATTACATGCAACTCTAGTTTTGTGCAAATTATAATAGAATCTGCCAATCACAATTTTATTGCCAGTTTTTAATTATTATTGGTGGTTTTATTATGAATTGAAAATTTGCCAAATTAAATTCTCTGCCAAACTTTCTGGCTAAATGGTATTATTTGTAATTAATGTTACCCTTTTTTTCAGAAGGTCTGTTTTTATGCAACTGTGATGGATATTCTTGAGTTAGAACAGACATTCCTTTATTTGCATTTCTTATAGTATCAGCATCAAGCCGTGGTAGAGACTCCTCCAGTTGTCCTTTGATTGATGACTCATGAAACTGTATTAATTTAGATAATTTTGGTTTAGGACCTTCAATCAATGGCTTGTTTGTACCAGTAGGGGGAGCAAGTCCTGTTAAAAATAATTTACAATGATATATTTGCAAAATTTTCAATGCCTGCAAATTTTGAAAATTTGCATAAAAATCCTTTTTGCCAATCTAATTTTTACAAAATTACACTACTATTTGTACTGTAATTAACTGATTTTGTGGGATTAATTTTTGCAAATTATTAAAGAATCACAAAGTCTGTGAAATTTACAGCCCAAAATTTTGTGCCGTACTGTATAATGATATTCATTGAACTAAAATATGAAATACTATTAAGGCCCCGTTTACACTAATCCATTTTCTAATGTAAACTGAGAATTTTTGATTCTCAGAAAAAATGCATCGCCTATCCAAAGCAAAATGAAACCGGATACCAAAGTGGATACTTTTATAAACAAATGATAAATCTTATGAAAATGCAACTGCTGGATTAGTGTACACCTGAAATGAATAGTAGTAAAACAACCCTGATCATTGAAGCGGATTAGTGTAAACTGAACCAAATAGTTTTCATAACTTATTACATTCCATTGTGAATCATAGTAACAGTAGTAAAACAATTTTAATTGTCCCTTAGATGGTGATTTATCATTGTGCCACTACTATACTAATTTCTTATATTATGTGATCAACCACTAATATAAACAAAGGCAAATCAAAACCACTAACCCTGTTAATCAAGATGGTTTAAGTCTTTTGCAGCATGATACAGGTTGGCTGCTTAACAGTCAAAAACTGCAAAATTTGAACCACAAATATTAATCATCAAATTAAGCTGCTTTAAAGGAATTGAAATGCTTTTCTCCACAACATTAACCAGCAAGTCTTACTGTACTCTTATTTGCCATTCAATTTTTAGGCCTTTCTACTCTAGCGCATCTCATGCACAAAACAGTTTGAAACTGGTTCCAATCATTCTATACATCTGATGTGCATTTGCTTCAAAATGCATTATGTACCAGTTCAAGTTACATTACAAGTGTAGAAAGGCCTTAAAATATTTCTCATTGCAACTTACACTACTCCATCATAATTTAATGTCAGTAGAGTATGCGAGAGCACACACTCACTCACACACACACAACACAATACAATCAGTGATATTAACTTACTCTCTTTATCTAATTTGTCAGCTGCAGCATTCTCTTTCATAGATTTAAGAGCATCTGACAGTGAGTCAAAGGTAGCTCCTCCTTTACTGTCAACATTATCAGCTCTGGACAACCACTGGGAGAGACATTCCATCAAGCATCGAGATACATCACCAGGATGATTCCTTTTAATGGCGTCCAGTGTGTTCTTGTGTAGTCCTAGTTTAAGTCCTAGTCCCTTCCATCTCTTCTGAGGGAAACCACATCTCTTCAACAGGTTAAGTACATCAATAAGTTGCTCTAAAATCATATTCAATGATACATAGATAGTTAATGAACATTACCAATAGTCAAAGGAGAAGAGAAGAGACTCAGAGAAGAGGAACAAGAACTGGTTTTAGTTGCCATTGATCAAAGAACAAGCTAACCGGATGCAAACTTTGCAAAGGAATAACAAGGGAGGGGCTCGTTTAGATCTAGTACAGACATAGTATAGACTTAGTAACTCTAATATCTATGGCACAGATGAAGAATAACTAAATGCTATTAGTATACATGACAAAACATTAGTCTATTTATTAAAAGGGTTGCAGCATCCTTTACACCTGCACTTAATACAAGGTAACTCGTTATAGAAACAAGGACATTTCTTCTTCATACAAATAAGATGTCCGTATATAACACCTGGATTAGTACCACACCTACAGTTATACTTCATTTCTCTCTTAACCGACTCAATCTTCTTCTCTTCCCTTTCAACAACCAATCCTTCATCTTCAATAGGCCCTGCTACTAATGGAGTTCTCTTTCCTTTCTTCTTCACTGGTGTATTGGTTGGTGTCATCTTGGTACTAGTAACTGGATTAGAGTATTTTTTAAATAATCGTCTTTTTAAAGACGGAGTGAAAGGATCTCTCCTCATCCTAATGCTCAATGATATGAAAT